TACGCTTTACTCCTTCGGAACTATCAAAAGAAGGAATTAGTTCGAGAGGGATTTCGTGAGTGAGTGGTAGTGACACGATAGGGTCAAAACAGCATCCTGAGAAGTTCAACAAAGAACTTGTCATCAACTTGTTATCTTCTTGCATCAACTTGTTATCTTCTAGAAACTCCTTATTCTCAGATAACACGCAAATGTGATTTTGCGCTCACAAGGAGACAGACAGTGAGCCTTTAGCCGTTTTTTGGGGAACGGCAGCGAGGCATTGTTGACTATGGAACTGATGTCGCGATCAAAATCCTGTTTTCACTCCCATGAACGAGAGCCTATACTAAGAGAGTATCCATACGCAAAACTACAAAGAAAGAACTCCGAATCAACTTAATTATTAATTCACCTGTACGTGTCACAGAGAACAAAAATTTTGACGCACAGAGAATTTCAAGGCCCTGCGTAGTGCAAATAGTGTCGATCGAGTCCATTACCTCGACAGGACCCAACATTCCCACAAACAGCAGCAGTTATTCAAGAAAGTATAGCTGTCGTGTCATCTAGAATAGGCAGCAGAAGAATATTTATTAGAAGGCAATGGAGTGCTCACAACAAAAAATGGCTCGTTCATTCATTTATTTATTTAAAAAGCGCTCTGCTGGCGCGCTACAATAAGGATAAGCAACATGCAGCGATAGCGTCCAAGACAGAAAAACAAACAACAAAGAATGAAGAGTAAAGCAAAAATAAATAAATAGTGGTACTCGCAAGTATACTGCATAGGCCTAAGAAAGGACTTAGCAAACACGGGACTCTCAGAGAGTCAAGCCCGTGTCAAGCGGTTCACATGCTGCTCTGATGAGCAGCAAAATCTATAAAACTAAGGGAACGAAGAGTTTTCCAGTGACAGACTCGATAGACCTAGATTTATGCATGAATTTGGCGAATTCACAATTTACTAGTTAAGACCATCCTCAGCCACATGAAACGTAAGTAAGAGCACTAATCATGTCCGAACAGCAGACATTTGAGACACAAACCTGAACCAGTCGGCTGTGATGTCCGATCGCCACGTGCGGGGTCATAGGGACTTATGGAAACTCCGAAACGCGGGTTTACCGACCACTTACGTGGAATCGGTGAACTAGGTGGGTGCCACGTGTAAGCTACCGAGGAGCTCGAAGGAAATAACCAAAAATATGTTCCACGCGAGCGCAAGTCTAGTGGACGAAGTGAATGTCCAAAGATTCGGAATACATTCGAAGCAAAGTTCATTCCGGGAGAAAAGAAATCGCCTTCATCAAGTCTGGTTGTATAGTTGATAACAGCACTCAGATTGTGAAGCGCTTGACAGTAGAGCCGTAAGGTGACAAAATGCCAAACATTGTGAAGGGGAAAAAGGAGAGGAAGCAACACTAAGGCGAAATGTGCTACAAAGTTTGTATAATCCTCTGCCTGGTCAAAGTTTCCAGGCAAACCAGGCAGATCTGTCAAAGCACCAGAACAAATACCGTGTGTGATGTGTGAGATATTGCCGCTTGGGTGCTTATTGAAAAAGTGGGAAGCGGTCATCAGGAAGGACCTCGCTGGAGATGTCACGGATAGGAGAACGAGGTGATGTCTGGCAACAACAGCGAAGGCGCGCAAGCAACACTAGGGAAACGAAGAATAATAGGTAGATTTATTTCCATATACATTATTCCTTATAACGATCAGTCGCAAAAAAAGAGCTTCTTGGGCAGGATAATTGCAGAGCCGACTGTTCCCGCACCAGACCCTGATAACATCTCGTGCATGACTATTTCGTCGATTTCAGCTTTGACCTTACACTTGCTGGCAAGGCTACAAAAGAGCCGAATATTTGAAAGAAAATGGCAAATACACTACAGAAGAACCAACCAGTACGGAAATGTGTAAAATACGTTCTTCCATGTCCATCTTCCCCATCAGTCAATGATCTTCGTTGTGGATGTGAGCATCCACAAAGAACAGAGGTAAATGTTGCGAAAAGATGGTATCGCAGTAAAAAGTGGAATGACCAGTGTAAGAAGCAGCGTGACGAAATCTTTGAAAAATCCAGTGGGAAGTATCATTTCACTTACATTTGGAATTGGGCAGTATTCGCTTGGTACACATTGTGCAAATGCTCCCGAGACATACTTTGTAAAATCGCAACAGACGGGCGTTGACAAGAGGGCGGAATGAGACCGCCTTTGCCTGTCTTGCTTTACCAATGGTGATCAGTAGTGATCAATTTAGGAACGGAACAACCATTGGTGGGAATGCCGCGGATGAGCTCATCCAGTTGTTCTGGAAATCGCCCCGTCTGATCGCGATGTTATAAATACTTGCTATCTCAAGCTGTTCAGAAATTAAGCTGTTATTGTTTGATAACTGCTGTTTAACGCCGCAGTGCGCGATACGAAAGCTATCACAAGAATGCTGAGTTATGGGCAAAAGTCGGACCACGGACGGGATTCGAACCGCATCTTCTGCTTACCGGGCAGTTGCGTTCCCTATTACGCTACCGGGGCCACTTTTGACCACTCAGCTCAATGGCTATTTGTGCCATTGCCTTCGAGCACTCACACGTTCAACGTGATGAGCCGGTTAGCCGATATCGGCAGTGAACCGCAAGGCTGAAGGCTTTTTACAAGTTTTAGCTGTTATTGTTAGATAACTGCTGTTTAACGCCGCAGTGCGCGATACGAAAGTTATCACAAATAGGCCATTGAGCTGACAAAAGTGGCCCGGTAGCGTAATAGGGAACGCAACTGCCCGGTAAGCAGAAGATGCGGGTTCGAATCCCGTCCGTGGTCCGACTTTTGCCCATAACTCAGCATTCTTGTGATAGCTTTCAGAATGTTATTCAAAAATCTGCAAAATTCTTTCTCATAGTCTCTGTTGACATACAGAGCAAAACATTCAACTTCGATTAAAAAACGATAGGGCGTGTGACGTAGCGCTATCGAGAGCACGGTCAGCGCTGCCTTACCGCAGCAATGATGTCAACTCGAGTCGCTACACATTGTGGAAAATCTGCCCTGGCTGCGTTCCAAGCTACAGGCCCGTCACACACCACACAGTGCTTCGAATCAGTAGGGCTTTTTCGAAAGGAAAAAGCAATCTTTTTTGTGCACGCGGCGCATCAAATCTAAAAAGCCATCTTTGTTATTCGTCCCTTCCACTAGTGTTCATGATGACGAGGAGCTAGACAGGCAACAGGCCAACCGTAGCTTTCCGATGGTCTGTGCGATGGTCATACTGCACACACTGACATCTGTCCAGTATGACCATCGTACAAACCATCAGAAAGCTACTGCAATCGGACTCAGCGGCCTCTTCGAAAGGTACAGCTGGTCACCTCGCTGGAGTGTCAATATCTACTGCTGCCTTCTTCGATGAAACAAAGCTTGAGGAAGACATTAAAGAAGAACCTTTTAGAGCATGTTTTCTTTGCCCTCAAACCTGCCGAACATCTCACCATCAGTTTTCTTCCTCATGCCTCCCACCTCATAATCTTTCGGCTTCAGTTCATAGCGGCCAATGCGGACGATTTGAAGTACAGAAAAATTTTACGTGACTATGGCCATAAAACGATATGTTCCGCGTATAATGTCCTCATGTGACTACATACAAATGGCTTAAGCCATTTCCTGGTCTCTCACCCCGGTCCAATTATCGTTGTCGCACGCATCTTGGCGATCAACACGGAGTACGAGTGCCTTAAAGGAAGAACCCGCGATTACTCGCCATCTCAGATGGTGGATTAGGGGGTTCCATATAGACGACAAGGGGTTGAGTAACTCGACTGTGAACAAAAAAAGCACAAAAAACATGCCACCTGCCCTAGATAGAACCCATTTCGATCCCAGTTTGTACGTGCCCAATCAACTCTATCTCCAAAACTACGCCCTCATATGCACGGCTGATTCACCGATAAGATTTCTACGATCGTACAAGTGGCGATTATCATGCTTTTTCGTCCCTGCAATCTCATTTTTCTGTCTAGGATTTCAGTTGTTTATTCCTGAGTTTTGTTGTACGCTTTATATTAACTAAGAGTAACATGTCGTTGGGCATGTAATAAATAAATAAATAATAAATTTTTTCACTGGAAGTCGGTCATTAGGGGCGGAGTCTGGAGGCGGAGTCACTGGAAAAAAGGAGGAGCCACTGAACCTATATTGCGCTACAGCGCCCCTCCCATAGAATTTTTTGCCGCGAAACCGGTACAAGGTTGTTCGTCGCGGACCACTCTAACCTCCTGACGCCATATTTTCAACTTCGATACCTGATCGCGGACCGTGCCTTTAAAAGACGCGGTAGTGTAGTGGGTGAGACCAGTGCCAGAATGCGTGAGCACGAGTTCATCCTATTTCCAGATTCCAGGTTCCCTATACAGCTTCATGATAAAGTGTGTATCACCAAAAGAGCAAAAAGTCCCAGACTTACCAGAGAAATGAGTCGAGCTCGAGGATTTTCCCCTTATACTCAGTGCCACCAGGGTAAAGCATCGTGATGTGTGAAATGGGTGTGTCAGTACGATCCCTCCACCCCACCCCCCCCCCCCCCCCGCCTAAAGGAAGGGTCTCGGTACGACCCATCCTCATGTGTTTCACATAACGATGCTGTACCGAGTGCAACTGCTCCTGCGTGTTAGCGCGCTAGCGTTGCTAGAAACCACACTGAATTGGTCTTTGAGCACTATCTTTGAGCTCTTTGAGCATAAGGGAACTAGCAAGTGGCGTGATGTTGTCGCTCAGGAAAATGAGCTGAGTGGACACTTATGCGATAAAAAATCTGATGATCTAGCTACGTTATCGGAGCATAGTTATGCTATCAGCAGCGTATAAAAACGCGCTGAGTTAGACTAATCATCAGTGCTACCGTCGCCTTTTTTCTATCACTCTTTCAAGAGCTTGCCCTGTTCAGTCATCTGAGTTATGCAGTCGCCTAAGCCATTCTATGACGGGTTTTTCCCTCTTCATCCAGCTCCAAACATTTCAGATATGCTTTTCTTCCTGGCTCTAATCACCATAGCAGTGGCGAAGCCCGTTGTGGACCATGCCTCTACCTGTCCGTTTCCCAACGGCACGGACAAAGCTCTGCATTCGTACATCTGTGCAGCAGGTACTTACAGTCAGCTAGAGCCATTTCGGCCCTGCAAGATAGTTGCCCACGTTTTCCAGGCGAACAGTTCACCGTGAGCTCCATTGTAACCACGGACAATGCCGGAAACAATGTCTACCCCATTGATCCACGCCAACCATTTGTCCTTCGATTGAACGCCTACAATCACGGACCACAGGTATGTTACTCTGGAAGGTTGTAGGGAGAAAACCGTGGCAGAAATGTGGTGATTTAGATTGATGACAATAAGGTTAATGTGAGAATCTTCGAGTACGAGGCAGGCCTAACATCGGCCGACTGTACATGGGTGAACGTACCAACATTCGGATTACTGTAAGCATTCCATTTTTATATTTTCGAGAAAAAAATAGTGCACTTATTACGTCAATCACGACGACTCGTATAGCGCTAGTAGATTCAGTTCCCATCATCTAAATATTCTATGGGGTGTTAAAGGGACGATTTGAGCCATTGTTTCGGTTCGAAACACATTTCATTGGCTCCGACACCTTGTGGAAGTCAAGTGCACGGCGCAGCTGAAACCCAACTTCCATGCAGAAAAAAACCAGCTCTTGAGTGCAACCAGAGCGCCTCCGTTCCTTTAAAATCGGTGGACCTATCTGTAAGAAGAAAAAAATTTGCCCATGCGCTGCAGCTTACCTTATCAGAAGGCATAGCTTGGGCAATTTATGGCCTATCTCTTATCTATAAAGGTGGGTACCATCTGAATCACCAATGCTATGCGATGAAGGCAACATTGCCGTTCTCACTTTCCAGCTATTACGACTTGATAAAATCTGGCAAAAAATTATGGGGCTGAGAACTGGACGGGGGGCAAAAGCTGTAGGGTGCAAGAAGGTACTGGCCGGTCCCACTAGGAAACCTGAGGGCTGAGTCACCAGTCGCCTAAAATTATGGAAATGTTCTCGTCAACACTCACAGGAGTGCTTGAAAACTGGACCAATGGCTTGGGTAAACGTAGGTCAGGGTACTTCTATCGCTTAAAGGCACAGTTCGCGACCGCAAATTGCGGGAAACGGAACTCAAATAGGGCACAAAAAAGTGCTAAGTATCTGATTAGCGGAGAAAAGCAGCAGAAAAAGCAGTCCGAAATGTTATAGAGAAAGATAACATAGTGGCTACTAGCTAGTAGCTAGCAGCCGGTGAGGGTCGGCATGGGCCTAAGGGGTGTCCATGGGCCTAATTAGTCAGCTTCTAGCGGAGTTCTTGCCGTTTTTCACATTTTGAAAGTAGCGCAGCCTCAAAAATCGCCTTCCGGATCGTCCGACACATTCGAGAGGTCATAGCCTTATTTTATCGCGGAATGTGCCTTTAAACGTCTTGGCTTAATAGTCTGCCTGCAAAGTTCGCTTACAGTAGGCTATACCTAGGCTTAAGTGCACCTAGACCGCCAGACTCAGACGAGGACACGTACACAAGCAACGCATAGGCGGGTCCCCTGAACTACACCCTCCCATAACTCCTCCTATTCGCTGTTTTTGGCTTTTAGAAAACCCATTGCGACGAAGAGGTGATCCAGGTAGTCCAAATGTTCTTCCTCCGCCGCTATGGCCAGAGTTCCCCTAATGCATGTGAGTAGAAGCTTGAGCTTTAACTGAATTTCTCTTCTTAAGCAATTTGAAAGTGGGGAACAAATTCCGATTTTACGCTCTGAAAATAAAAGCACTAATTGGTTTGACTGACCCTTTTGGCGGAGAGTTCAGATTAGTTATGACTTGTGAGTCAAAATCTTTCTTGCTTTCAGAAATAACATCGATGGATGTGACTATGCACACAACTGCCCGCTTGACATCGGGACCGCTCACACTTGACCTGCCTTTGGACTTGTCGGAATTCTCAGCTATAATCAACATCCTTGCCGCATACGTGAGTGTATGATACTACTTAAATTAAGTCAAAACAAACTGTACACTACACCAGAGAGGACGACCCGTGCAGTGTAGCAGCAATAGTGGGTTTGCAGCGCAGTAGCCATGCCGCCTTCCTTCGTTCAGAAGGGCGGACGGGAAAATGGAGCTGTGAGCAATGGTTCCGCGCTATTTCCATACCCAACGCGGGCCCATCTTCAAAAGAAGCGCTGCGCATCGGTGGTACGGAGTAGGTTGCGCAAGGCGCGAAACATGCACTTAGCAGTAGAGAAAAGTGTGAGGGCGCAAACAACTGTGTTTGCTAGCGCGCTTGTCTGACCGCGCCACAGCGCGCGGAAGGTAAAGCACGGAGACGGCACCGGGGCATCACAACCCTGTAGCGCCGTTCCCGTGTCATTATGACCGGTCAGAGTGACATAGTACGCTGCGAGCAGCTGCGAGCCTATTCCTCCTCACACACGAATCTAAGGGAGGAAACGATCCAAGCAATTGTGGGTGGTGAAGATTGTGCCCATTCTTCGGTGGTTGTACAAGCGAAATGAGGTGTATGTTCGCAGGGTTCCTCTTTGACCATAGTGGCCGCCCTTCCAATATCGGTCAACCGACCAATAAGAAAGCGAAGAGAGGAAGACACATGGTGCGACATACTAAGTCTGCCGCCCATGAATGTTTTAGGCGTGGAAAGCGCCTCCGAGACCTTTTCACGGGAAAAAAAATGCGGTTGATCACCTTCATTTGGACTGATCTATGTTGGGAGTACACTGCATTTGATTAAGACCTTCCAATCGAGGCTTTGACTAGACAGTCCCCTTATCAGACGAGCCCTGCGTTCAGATGTGCAAATCTTAACAATGTTGATTTTATTAGCAAGGCTTGACCTTGTGAACCTTGAAATAGGACTCGAAGCACCTCACGTTCTGCTACGTACAGACCTAACTTTTTTACACCCCACTAGTATAACCCTCTGAACTGAAGCAGGCAGACAGTTTGAAACAAACCAACATCCTTGAGAATTGGCAGTTTTTCAGAGGCCATATGAGTTCGAAATCCGGATGTTCAACTGGAATAAGGGAAACACCAAGCATGAAGAATTCGCATGTGTTATGGCTCAAGTGGAACTAATATAATTCAATTGGATTCCTTCCAAATTCATAGTCTGATCTATTTTGATATGTAAAAATGTACATAATTATTTATTCGAATGCCTATATGTCTGACGCTTTATGGCAGGGTTTTGAGGCCAATAAAAGACTAAAAGTTTGGATCGTTCAGCACATTATTTCCTGGCTTTTGGCCTTCACTCGTAATCAGAATCGTCGTGATAGTTGCAAATGCTCCTAGATTTCAATGAATTGAGACGGCCAACCCATGGCGAGTCAACTGTTGCGGCCCCTTCCATGTGACTCTCCAAGCACGGAAGTCCTGACTGATCTAGCGAGTTGTCCTGGCTTTTCTCCTTGTGCACACAGCCTCAACGACGCCACAATTATAAGGTGGAGCTAATCTTGAAAGAGAAAAAGATGAAAAGATGAAAATTCAAGTGAAATTGAGGAAAGAAGGAAAAACGAATACTAAGAAAATTCAAGGCAGGCCACTCCTTAGAAAAGGCTTTATGACTCCCTTTATGGAGAAAAAGCGACTGCGAAAACGTATTCTGCCAGAAATAGGCATCTCTTTACCGTCAATTGCCCCCCGGTATACATTCCAGGTTCATCTTGGGGGAAAGCAGGAAAGCAAGGCTTCCATTGTGTTTTTCCCATTAACCCGCCTGTTTACTCGACCACTCTAGTCTAGACCATATAGAAATGGACCCATGACGAAAACTTTGAGTCTCGCCCGGACCGCATGATCAGCGTGCCTTCTTCCCTCACGAGGGTATCAAGCGTTCGCGACGATTGACGGGGTTTCTGCGCAGCATTCGCGCTTGCCATAGGTATGAGCTGAATTTAGTTTACTGTTTTCAGTGAGTTCGGTAACACCAGCCTCCATTCTGAAAGTTTCACAAAGTTCTGAGGCAGTTTTATCCACACGTCTTCTGCGAAGGACTACGTAATCCTTTTCCGCTCGCGTGATCTCTAACGAGTAATCATACTACAGTATGAAGCAGCTTTTATAGCACATCAGTTTCTAGCATAATTCGAATGTGGTCGGGAGCCAAGTTCCCATCAGAATTTGTAGTCTCTGCTTGGGACTAATTGCACCACCATGTTTCTGAGAAATAACTCTCAAAGACTTAACGGTTTATTGACTCAGTCTACTCATTTGTCGTTCCTGGTTGTTGCTCATACAAATCCACTTCGTGCCCTGTAGGGATCTGCCGAATTGCATTGTCCTACTGTATGATCCGCTAAATATATTCTCATCAGTGCGGTTGATCAGGAGGGATTTCAATTTCAACTTTGTGCGAAGCGCGGAGGGGGTCGTACGTGGTCGCTGGGAGGGGAGGGGGTCGTAAACGCAGGGTCGGTGAGCACAAACAGCACAAAAGTGTCATCGCTAAGTTTGATGGAGCGGACGGAAAGCTGCAGAGGACCCGGATGTAAGGAAGACTACAAAATATTAAAACAATTGATTAGCAATATCAATAGTTAGCATGAACTCGTAAGTACGTAGATGACTAAATAATACATCTCAAACAGATTTGTGCGTATCGACCTTCCAAACCTTGAACAAACATCTGCTTGCATGGACAAAAATCACCTAAAATCAGAAGTTACACCTTTCCGCCACTGCCCAGAAGCGTAATGCACGGCGCACACTCGGACCGAATCGATCGACGATGGACGGGAGGCATGCTATGGTCCTGACGAGTTGTTATGGTTTTAGTCCCAGCATAGACAGCTTCAATGCGTGACAAATGTGAGTTGGACTTTAGTCTCGAAAGGGCTGCTGAGTCAGAATCGAGGGAAAAGAAGGAAAAAACGAGTACTAAGCAAAGTTCAAGACATATTGAACGATTATCGTACAGGCGGAGGTAACCTTACCATTGTGACTCCCTTATAGAGGGGAATTATAATTGCAGGAATGCGATTAATGACCATCTCCTTACCCCCGATTGTTCGCTTAGGAATAGATTCCACTCTCGTCCCGAGAGGAAGGGAAGAGCCGAGTTTGTCACTGGGTCCTTCCTCAAGGACGCTTCCCCTCTCTTGATCATTTCAGAAGAGAGAAATGCACCAGTGAGGATGAACCTTCGATAGGCTGGAAGGCAGTGATGCCCAAGTGGCGTCTCTATCTCTTGCGCTGCCGCATGTCCTCCTCTCCTGAGACAGCCAAACGCGCTGCTCGTCTGCGCCCTCTCATCTGGTTGTTCACGACCTCCGAGTGCGAGGTGGCTGCGGGATCTTGGCATCGGCGCAAGTTCAGTCCCTTTAGGATAGCGCAGAAGTAGACCAGAAATGGGTACCACTCCTCTAACCCCGCTCCGGTGCTTTTTTTCTAGCACGCGCTGGAAGTGGCAGACCACTACGGCTGAGGCTTCGTTCACCTCGCTCATGGCAAGAACCAGGATCCACGGAGATGAGTGTATAGTTAGCCCTGAGGCAAGTAGCCACGGTTTCGTAGCGATGTGTAGGGTTTCTGCGATAGTGGTGGTGGTGACTACACTCGTCGCCACTGCATTCGCCCTTTCCATGAGTACTGACTTTGTGAGTTCTGCTATTTATGGCGGTTTTCGTTAACCATCCTACTACACAAAGATCCGCGCTGTTCCATAGAGTTCGTAGGCACCGGTCACTTCTGCAAAAAAAACCCGTAAAAGGACGCTGCGCTTGTGAAGTTTAGGGGCGAGGGCGCCGTCATATTACGAAAAAAGTAGCCGTTTATAGCACTGTTTCTAGCATCATGAGCTCATATGTAGGCGGAAGCGTAGTTCCTTTCCACGGATTCGTAGTCTCCGTTTGCTCCCGTGACTAATTACACCACCACCCTTCTTAGAATAACGATAAATACCTTCACGGTTTACTGAATCTATCAAAGTTCACTCAGTTGTCATTCTTCGTTCCTGCTTGCCTACAAACACTTCATTCCCAGTAGGGATCTGCCAAAATATATCGCCTTACTATATATAATTCGCGAGTAAGTCTGCCTCTGAGTGTGGGTGTGCTTGCATTTGTCTAAATTCATAAAGCGCAGTAACAGTGAGATTTTGATTTCAGGGACCGAGGGGATGGGACACTGGCGATGAGTGAAAGGAAGTGGTCGCACATAAGAGCTGATAGCGACAAGTCTACAGTAGCTATTTATGGCCTATACAGTTACCAGTTTATCATCCACGGAAGGGGTACCAGGCTAATTTGGCCTGAATGGTAGTCGACCTGGGATCGGAACCCAGGACTGTGCGAGTGGTAAGCGCGCCACTTGTAGCTACAAAGCCTCGGCTCCAAGTCTAGTCCAAGAAACCGCTGCACAGCTTACAACCGCACTGGTATCAGTGTGGTGGATCCTCAGGCCTTTTCAAGGCTGAGTGGCTCTGATGGGCCTACACTTCAGCGTTCTCGCCTTCGTCAGAGCCGACAGAGCTGACATGAGCGACAGAACAGACAGACGCAGGATAAAGAGACGTATCGGGGCACAGCAGAACAAGAAGCCAACACTATGACACCAGCGGCCAGACGGTTCGTTATCATTTGTATTGTAATTTGTGTAGGATATCTAGTATGAAGGCCGTCCAAGGTATTCTCGGTATCGGGGTATTTTAAATAGCAGTGACGAAGTATTCAAAGCATTTCACAGGTAACGACACTCCCTGAGGGTATAAATACAAAATTTCATTTAGCCATTATCAATGCTCTTCTAGTTATTGAAAAAAGACCAGAATGACTGATGCGACAATGTCAAGAAAACAGTTACGGATTAAAAAAATGAGAAAATGAGAAGAAAATAGAGGAAATGGAAAGAAAACTAAGAAAATGATCAATGACTTCTTGATCCCCAACCCAATGAAAAAGACTTCTTCTTTTTCTGACGATGAACAGCTGAAGGCGGCAATTAAGGCACATTTTGGCGACAAAGAGAAAAAATATTTGGCACTATTCAACTATTACTACCCCAGTTTTGCGAAAACAGGCCGGATCTTGATCGACTTTTTTCTACGGGGTGGATTTGGCTGAAAGTTGGGTTCTAGGGGTAATTCGACCTCCTGAACACGAATATCACATCCACTTGGCCTGAAATTGCCTGGCGCCCGCGCCATAGGCGCCAGTGATTTGGGGCATTTTGGCGCCGGCGCCGCGGACGCGGAGCGGTTTCAAGCCGAGGGAATGTGATATTCGTGATTAGGAGGTCAAACTACCCCTAGGTACAAGTTTTCAGCGGATTTCGTGATCTAGGGTACTTTGGCGCCGGCGCCTGTGGCGCGGGCGCCAGGCGACTTCGAGAGGAGTGGATGTGATATTCGTGTTCAGGAGGTCGAATTACCCCTAGAACCCAACTTTCAGCCAAATCCACCTGTAGAAAAAAGTCGATCAAAATCCGGCCCGTTCTGGGAAATAATAGTTGAATAGTGCCAAATATTTTTTAGAGGGTATTCAAAAGCTAGTTTTCCGAGCAAACTAATGTATTGCGGTTATGGGGACTACAGAGAATAATGAGCTTTATTAAGAATTCTCTGCCTTTTTCTTGAATCTCACGTAATCGCGAAATGGGTTTTTAGGTCGATGAACAGGAGACACTGTGTTCGTGTTGCACAACGATGAACTGAGCTTTATGTAAGGATTCAACTGATATGTAGCTGGAAATTTAGGAGTCGTTAAAAAACACATGTTTTCACAGTAACAAATGAAGATTGAAACAGTCATATTACATAAGCCTACTACGGAAATCCATTCCAAAAATGTAGTCAAGTCTCTGGAAGAAATCCTCACACAGTAAACTATGTTCTCCTCAATGTGGCACATTGCAGAGTTCGACAAACTTAGCCCCTTTTGCGGGCGTATAAGGGCTAGAGCTCATCAAGGAAAACATTGGCACGATGATTTGGCCCTCGGCCTAAAATGCTAGTAGGGCGCTATATAGTGGGGAAATGGCGAAAGAACGGAGTGAAACGGTCAAAATCCTGCGAAGAAAGAGCCTCCGTTCTCAATGTGTTAGAAATCAATTTTGGACGAGTTTCCTGTAGGCATCTTGCCAATAACCGCTACCGAAGGTACGGCTGCATATGTGTACTCATATATCCATGCAGCACTCACGGCCGCTTCGCTTCATAATTTGCTTAGCAAATGAATCGATTAGAGCGTCAGGAACGGTCGTCCATTTGTGGGCGGGCGGGCGTGGCGGGCGTTTGGGAGTAAAGTTGTGGCTTGATAGGGCCCTTTATAAGGGCACCTCCCTTGGAAAAGGCATTATGCAGCGCCTGCTCAGGGTCGCGGAATTCCGTCCTGCCAGGCGTATTAATCCTACTCGTCTTGGGGGATTTATCGTGCCAACTGCCTTCAAAATGTCTAGTCGTTAGGGATCAAACTAGTGCTCCTACGAAAGGCTCGATCAGGACAATTCCTGTCGCGGGGAGAAAAAAAATATGACCCTCCCCCCATTTCTCGCTCTGGTACGAACCTTCTCCCCACTTCCCTTTCCCGCTGCTACCTGACAAGGTCACAGGTTTTCCCCACTTACAAGGGAGGTCGTTCAGGGCGTGGTGCGCTTTTCGAAAACGGTTTTTTGCATATTGTAGGGGCTCATGCAAGGACCTGAAAAGTGTGCTTCATTTTCGCTGCGCGCTTCCAGGAACGGTAAAAAACGAGTGAAAAGAAATCTTTGGAATCTGCTTCGTTCTGGGCCTCTATACGGCGTAGGTCACTTGCAACTTTGACCAGTTGCTGAGTGGGGGTCCTTATAAAGGGGCTATTTGAATCGAAGCGAAAAATCGCCGCAAGTGAGCTTCCAACTTGGGTCATGTGCTCAAGGGTGAACGGCTTCTTGCATGGTTTCATCAACGATAAGAGCGCTAGCAGTGTCGAGCATCGGATGGCCTAGCGGATAGAGTGAAGGTTTCGCAATCGGACAGTGAGGGTGGGGTTGATGGTTCGGCTCCCCTTGCGTCGTGGCTTTTTGCATTTTTTAGATTTCGCTGTTCTCGCTTCCATTTCTGTCTGCGCATGAATATAACTCGGATATTTGCCATTTATGGGCACATTCTGAGTAGCTGTACCTCATGAGTCAGTGCTATTCAACTATTTCGATTTTCACGCACCATTGAACAAGATTGTTGCTGGACGTTGATCCTCATAGGCTATACAGTGGATCTGATTGCGAATTTAGTAATTCTGGTGTGGAGCGGTTATAGACAATTTGGGGCCACATCTTCTTTCCCTGAATTCGTTATGTACTCAAATATAGGGAACGTTCAGGCTATTCTGTCGCCAGATTGCGTGGACGCCAAGAATAGGAGTTATATTTGTGATCAGGGCCACTGATTACCACTAAAAACGAATTTTCAGTCAAAACAATTGTTTTGACCTTCTTGGGTTTGCTTATTGGGTTGTCCGGTGTCCGTAGCGTCAACGATACTTCATCGCTGTTACGAAGATGTGAAGACTCCGCTCACACTGCCGACCAAATGGTCCCTACAACCCGAAAAAGTCAAAAAAATTTTTTCGCTCAAAACTTGCTCCTAGGGGTAATCGACAGTCCTGATCACGATTCTAGACTTTATTTTCGGTTCCAGTGCCATCTGGCACCGGCATAGCGCCGAAGAGCTGAGTCTGTGCATACTAACGAATTCGAACGAAAAAGCAGTTTTGCTCCATAAAAGTAGGATTGTTCAGTTTATCGTGAATGTTTTTGTTAGGACCAATTATTTAGACAAACATGGATCCAAAAAATGAAAAATTGTAGAAAAGCAAAATTTTGTCCTCGGTGGGATCCGAACCATCGACCTATTTTTTACGTTTTTTTTTATTCGTAGAAGCGCGCAGCGAAAATGAACCTCAGTTTTCTGGTCCTCGTATGTGCCCCTACAATATGCACAAGACCATTTTGAAAAAGCTCACCACGCCCTGAACGACCTCCCTTGTTAGTGACTAGGTTGTGCCATGTGCCACCAACCAGGGGAGTGTTAGTTTACGTTGTGAATAATGCGGGTAAAACAGGAAAAATCAACTATGGAATATTCTCGGGCTATACGGCTAACTGAACTCGTAATATGGGCGCAAAAAAATACGACTCCTCTCTCCTACAGCTACTACGACCCCCCTGGCCTTTCCCAGCATACGACGCGTCCTTGGCGCACGTACGCTTAAAAGGCACTCTTCACGTTAGGTCTGTTGGCCGGGTGTACCACTAAAGAACTATAAGGATTATCCTATATACCCTTTTCCCCGTTCCCAAATAGGCTCAGCAGAACACATACACACAATTAACCGAGAAATCAAATCAAAAATCGATGATCAACTAGACTACTTTTTACAAGGTGGTTTTTACACAATATCGATATGATGCCTGTTAGGCCATGAGTGAAGCAGAAGACGATTGCTGCTGCGAACGGTAGCGATCCTAGCGAAAGGTACAGTAGGACGAACAAAGTCGCTTCGAAGGAAAAGTGAGTCCATTCACGGCCATAAAGGAAACAGCTTGAGAATCCAACTTCTGATGGATCCCTGAAGACAGCAGAATCAGAGCCATCAAAAATGAAAGTGGGTAAAAATAAACAGCAGAAAAAGCTCCAAAAAATCATGATTTTTTACGGGGTTCAGGACCGTCACGAAAGTGGTAAAAAAATACACTAAGCATTTCTGTGCTTAACGCGTCAGTTGCTCTATCAGGGGCACATTCCACTGTGGTTTGGGCGGAGCGAGACCTATCATTCCATCGGCATGACAATTATCTATACCGTCCGTCGTCGCAGAGAGGAGAGGAGTTAGGTACCAAAGAGAAGTGCACCACGATAGACCGGCTCCGCCCGCACGATCTGCGCGGAATGTGTCTTCTGATATTACTCGAAAGCCGCTCTAGGTAGATCAGCGACGTTGAATGGGAACATCTATTGAACGGAATCATGGCCCGCGCCGCATCACGAAATTCTTTTCCGAAGTCAGACTCTCTGAGGAGGTCTTGAACCCGCGCAGAGTCATTAGGGAAAGTAGTGACTGATATTGTCCACAAAATATCCAACTTCACCTCAAGAAGTTGCCCATCTGACTGGTATCGTTCAGCTCCGTGTCCAGCAACGCTTCAGCGAATGAACGGTCCCTGAAAAAAAGGCTTTGGGGCAATTTCATCCACAGACAATGATCGCTTCCATTACCTCCTCTTTGCCACACCATCCGGCATCCAAATGACGCCCATTTTCTTAACTGTAACCTTAAATATGTTTACAGATCGGGTGCAGCATCGTTCTGATGAAACAGCCAGCGTTAATGATTGTCGGCACGTCGCGGGGAGGGGGAGGGGTCGTATTCGGTTTTGTTGAGCAGAAGGAGCGACGTGTCTTTGACAGAAGTTTGCGGGGCAATGGAAAATATTTTTGTTGACTTTGTTCCTGTTTCATGTGTACTATTATATACCCCTCCGGCCCTGCTCGATGGGAAACTTTCGGATGAAAATTGGCAGGAAGCTGGGAACTTGTAAGAAAGTGGTAGGTAGGTGTTTGGGGAAGGGGAGGAGGGTGTCGCTACCCAGACCCTCTTCGAGAGGGGAGAGGTGGGTCTCGTACTGGCACCGACCATTTTCACACCATGCACGAATAGCAGTACCCCGCTTGCACGAGAACGCGCACAATCAATGGGCTCAAAAGGCCTGATGAAATGACATTCAACCTGGTGCAGTTCACCACTGTTGCAGTCGGGATTGTCAGAGAGGGGCAGGCAGTGAGAGTTCCGTCCCCGCTGCCTGTAAGCTTTTAATAGGAAACGATGAATCGATTCAGGAATAAATCAACTGGGAGAAAAATGGCTTCGGATGGGCTCATTTCATTTTCTCCCGACACCCTACACCCCCTCCCCCCACCGACTGACATTTCGCGATATCAACTGCATCGAATCATGAGGCCAGGCGACACGCTATACGCAATACGGACATGCTTGGCTCGCGGGCGACTCTTTTACCAATTGCGTTGGTGAAATAAGATTTCTCTTCAAAACATGTTGGGAGTTCTCAAGCAGTCGTGGAAGTGTTTTGCTAAAAATTGAATACCTTATAATGTACTCCATATCGGTCGTGGAGTGATCGATAAATTCACGGAACAATGTGTTCATTTGTTCGTTTGCTTGAACAGTAGCTGCCATCTGAAAGCATCATTCACTTTATAGCACTTTTCAACCTTTTCAAAGGAACTCCAACTCAAAATCACCTTTGCCGTGGTTTGATCAAGTCCAGTCAGCCGAATTTGTGCGGACGAATTCCTCACAGAAGACATGATTTCATCAAAACGATTCCGCAATGTCACTGGAAGGCTGACGATGAACGTCTGGAGATGAGAGGTGGGCTCGAGACCACGAAAACCACACAGGTCGTCCTGAATCGGTGCTTAAGGCTAATTTGCTTGAGAATCTTCACTTCGCACCCCTCAGGAGCAGCAGACGTGACAGCGCAATCAAGCCAAAATCACAACCGCTACGGCTTTCAACGAAATGACGCTGCCACGCTTACTGCATCTCAGGGATTTGAAGTATAACTAGGTGTTCACCCGTTCCTTTTGTAGGAATTCGTTCATCTCTGCCATGCCGGTGTCAGCACGCCCGTGCGGTGATCTTCCATGAATGTAGAACCCGTGAAGTGGGTGAGTTAACACGATGACACTGAAAATGACTACCTGGGTACAGTCGATATTTGAGAGCAAAGCGAGCGTTTCCATATAAGTAGTTGCGAGTGTCGTAAAGGCTACAAAGGACCCCCCCCCCCAGAAAGACAGCCGTTAAAATTTTCTATACGGCAGTCCCCATAGTGATAAGGAATCGAAGAATTAACTATCGCCGGCAGCACCAACCATTTGGTACACTCTCTGCAGTTATCTCTACCTCATTTCATCCGCCAAACCGTTGCTCAATTTCAGCTCATTCTCCTCATGGAGTATTCCGGATGCGTTTTGAAGATTTTTGTCCTTGGCGCTGTTCACTTCGGCAAATGCCCCGCCTATCGTGGGCGGAGCTTAGGTTACCTTGTGTGTACTCGGCAAATGAAGGATCATGCCAGTTCCATCCCACCCATAAACAGTTCCTTAAACGGTTCCCTAAATGTGAATTTTCTGTAGGCCCGATTTTTTGAGGCGGTCACAACAACACAGCACCCCACACACACACACACACAGCACCCACAACACACCACACACACACAACAAACACACACACCACACACGCTACACACCACATAACAACACACTTTGGTTTGTATATTAGAGAGATGGGAAGCTTTCTGTTTGGCCCAAAATGATTTAGTAATACTCAAAGAGTTTCACAAGTATATACGCAATTCTGCTGATCACAGGGCGGTTTGTCCACAAATTCATATAGCTTATATAATTCGTTCAGGAAGCTTGACAATTAGGTGGTGGAACTTTGCGAGATAGGATGCAGAACCCCCCCCCTTCCCTCTTCCCCCTAGATTGCAAGGACATGCTCTGGCTAGGAAACCGCTGTCCTGCCTCCCCCTCATCGATTAGCACATGTTCGTAGCAGAGAAAAACGTTCAGAAGCGTCCCGCCTGTGGTCAAAGGTTTCGACACAACTCTTGGCGATGAACAGCACACTCAAGTACAGTAATAACGAGAAGAGTTCCATAAGAGGTCTGATTCTCAAACATTTTGACTCTGAGAGTTTCTTCTCATTGCTTACCTTATGTTTCGATGTGAGCAGAAATCATGAAATTTGTGGACGGGGTCGGTGTTATCGGTTCGACTGATTGCCCCCTGGAACGTGTGGGGTTTGTAGGCTGCAGATGATGGGGGGGGGTGTCAGAGGTGAGTTTGCGGCAGCAGCCCGGTTTATTTATTTTATTCTTTCGACAAGCGACAAGACTGTTGCATGTCTTCCCTAGCAGTCATTTTCCACCAATTACTGTCTCTTACCCGCTTCAAAGACTGGAAGAGAACGGGCTGGCGGTGCGCCAAATCCAGCCTCATTGGCTCAAAATCATACCTGCACAGCCCACTGCAGAAAGCCGATAACAACATAGAAAAAGATGACTACAGCAAACTTTGTCATTATTGTTGATTCAGACGAAAGCGATCCTAAAAACGAATTTACTTGTAAAGAAGGGCGCTTGGGGCATTCATGAAAACTGAAGCCACTGTGAGTGTGGATGGAGGCACACGACGGCGCAACAAGCGTGCTCCTCTCTGTCCGTTACCCTTCCAAGGTTTCGACTTAGAAGAGCAGAGACTACCAGAATTCTCGTAGCTTCTCACGCCGTGGGGCCTCCTACTCACCGCTAACCACAATAGCGCCCGGAAACATACGTACCTTCTCCAAAACCAGGCTGAACAATACTGAACCGCATAAAGTCAAAGGCTTCAAGGAGAAGCAGAACGATGAGTAACTGTAGACCAACCGACGTAGCACGTACGCAACGCAACTCCGCCCACTCGTTTGCCACGAAATAGGATCGCCTTCAAAATGAATATTACGGCAAGATAAACCTATGCAAAGAAGGAGTTTCATTGTTCGTTGTGAATTTGGAAATAGGGCAGTGACGCCACTAGACACTAACCATACAACCACAGGCATTTCCTTTCGGTCTTTTGATACATCCCGAGATACTGGCCGAGCTAGCTGGCTGTTCTAAATGGGTTACAATAATAAATGAGTTTGGCTAGCAGCCAAATACCTGTGATGGTTCTCACTTCAATGATCTGTGGCCTCTCCCAGTCGATGAAGAACGTCTCCTGTAGAACCATGTGGAGTATGTTGTGAATTAACGCAACGAACTTAAGACAAGCCGTGGAGATCAGGTATGCCATCAGGACCCATTCCTAGAATGAATCAGCGCTTTTGTCTGGCCAATAGTAGCCATCCGTGGCTAAATAATTAAGCGCAATACGGCATAGGGCAGGGGGGGCTACGGAAGGGCACTCAATTTCTATAGGCCACCCAGCGAAGTCTGTGAGAACTAAGACCTGCCCTGTGACCACAGTGGCTCATTTGCACCACTTCGCAGCATCACAAAAAACTTGCACATGTACACTCAAAAGTACCTTGTGCTTTAATCTACTAACCAAGAACTACGCAATGCGCAAAATGCCCGTCGAGTCGAGTGCCTCTCACCACCCAGCCAGCCCAAATTTGAACGTGCTCGACAATAATAACGGTAAAATAACTGCTAATTGTTGGCTGACCTGGTCTTGGTTGAGGATACAGTAGAATGGATAGGCCTGCGATTTGTAGGCAAATGTGATCCAGCATGACATTGCGGTCAAAACCACGAAAAAGACGTCTCCTAACGCTGCACATTCATACAGTAAGAACTGCAGTATGGTAGCTGCATCAAGTAGGGATGCTTTGCCACTGCGACGACCCCAGCTGAAATTCAAGGATTTTCATCTAGATCTTCAGTAAGATGTCTTGCTGGCCGCGGATGCTGTGGAGTGTTGGAGGGCTGGGTTTGACGCGACATCAGCTCGTTTTCCACCAACTGTGTGCCGGTTGTCCGCTTCAATCATGGGTGGAGAATGGAACTGGCGCCGTGCCAAGCCCAACCCTCTGACACAAACCAGCATGTGCAGCGAGCGAGACTACAGTAATTTCGCAGCCATGTCATAACAGTGGCTGTTAGATATACCTGTATGCTTTCATGGCAGCCCATAGAATAGATAACGGGCACAGCACAGCCATAGTGATTTCCAGCTCCTGAAATTAACAATATTCAAATAGCCATTTTTTTGTTTTTTTCTTTTTCATGCTGCCCTCTTTCCGAGCGTCTATTTGAGGGAATAACTGCATTGTGAAGTGAGCCACAAAAACAGGAGAACGTCCATTATTTATTTATTTATTTATTTATTTATTTACACCATAAGGTGTGCCACAAATTGCTACACTATAATAAACTCGCTGAAACTTAATATTTCCACTAAACATTAGACAGAGAGAAGGAGCACACGCTATTCATACTACTTCCTGAGAAGAGAAAAAATGTTATAAGTGAAGATATAATTAAACACTTGTAATATAGTCCTATCATTATCATTACCGGGTTATGTTTACAGAACTGACATCATTGAAGAGCGGTGTGTCCGTCGACTCATCGGACCAACAAGGGCGTTGGCTGGCGAAAGGCGGTCCTCAAGAAAAAAAGGAGAGAGCATGTATGTATAAGAGAGGAGAGTAGCCATATATTATGGAGCGCTGCCACTGGCATATATAGAAACACTTGAGTGTACGGGTGTATTTTGGTCCCGGGTCAGAATTCTAGAATATCTCGTTCGTTTCTGCGCAGGCGCCAAAGTGTAGGACACTCTGATACTCTGCGCTCTGCTAAGGCTTGGCTGGCGCCGAACGAGACGCCAGTCTCCTAGCGGGCGCCAGAGGCGCTAAGAGCGCCATGCGACAGATATACGATACTTCTACTTCGATTAGAGCGGCTACAGCAACATCTACGGAGAGTTTCAGCTGACGTTTTCTGGTTTCCTCAGTAGTGCCCTGCTGTTCTCTGCTCGCATCGGGTTTGGAGCGCTTTGACCGCCGCCATCGTAGTTGCCTCGGCTTGGGCTGAGCGGAAGCGAAGGGGTTGCACCCCTGGGACGTGCGCATGTAGAAAACCGCGCCGCCTCGTTCTAATGTATGAAGTGAGCAAACCAAAATGAACTTACCCGATTGTGACGTGTAGGATCGGTGGTGTAGGTGACCATAAGTCTTTGTTGAATCACCGCACTGGCATTCTCCTTACTCTCAGCGTAGTCAATGCTAATGTATGGAGGAAAGATCAGTCCGTCACGAGTCGTCTGAAATGAGGCATGTTCAGTCCCGAATTGGGCACAGCCATTTCTCTATTCAGAAAGTCAAAGGGTTCTTAAGACAAGGGAGGGGCTCACATAGAGCTTCTTACCTGTATCTCAACGTGTATCTCGATATTTTTCGCATAACGGATAACGGGTGAAGAGTTCGTTGCTGCAAGGCTGACGTCATCACCAAGGAAGAACCTTCTCGTGAGGACCCAACCATTCAAATCGCGAGCTAATTGATTTAGTTGGATACCAGTAGAGGACCGAATGAGATTGTTGAGTATTGGAACAGGATGAAGCTGAAAATAAATAGAGTAGGAAAGGGGTGGACAAGGCCAAAAAGTCTTTATGCCTGTCAGAAATTGAAAGTGGAGAATGGCCGCATCCTACTGGCGCTTCACAATGTGCCAGCCGAATAGACGTCACCCCTCCTTCGCGTGTGGGAGGGTGAGCTGGATCTGCCCTTTTGCTTCATTCAAATGAATTTCCCACTCGATAGGCCAACATGAAACATTCGCTGTAGTAGATAACCTCCCCGAAAGCTCCATTTTTGACTAAAAAATAGGCATAAACTGGTAGAACGTTGACTAACCTGAGGCACACCCTTTTGATCGAAGAACTTCAGAAACGCTTCAAAAAACTCCATTCCTGCATCCCCAATTAATTGTTTGATGGTATGTAGCATTCGAAGCTGTATCTGGAAAAATCCGCCATTTTTTTAATATCTAGTGCAAAACAACGTGAAGCACGGGCTTTGTCAAGAGGCGCGGAATGTATCACGGTTGTGTTTTCTACCAGTAATGGATGGTTTAGGCTGGTAGAGAACGGGGAGTAGTTCAAGTCTCCCACACTTCGGATCATCGACACTGCGGTTCCTATATTTGGGGCAGATGTATTACAGTCCTCATCATTGCGGACCGGTGGGGCGTGTCAGTGCGGCTGCGTTTGGCGCGGTGCCAAAGTCGTTCTGCACCAGTTGTTGAAGCGGGCAAGTGACATTACTGTATTATATCCTTCGTATTACTCGTTTTCTACCACTTTTTGTCGCATACGCGTTTCAACAAAAAGGCTGAGAACGGCTTCAACAGTGTGCGCACTCATACTGGCTGACC